TTGAAAACTTTTATTGTATATTAAATATATATATATTATTTGTGAATTATATATATATATATATGTATATAATTCACGAACAGAACATTACACGTATATTCTGTTTGACGTGTTTTTCTTCTTTAAATTACTTTTTGATGTATAAAGCGAATGATATTAATGCGTTATTTCTATTGTATTTAAAAAATGATAATTATTTGCTCAAACTCGTGGGAGATATTTAAAAAACTGTACTTTTATAAGAAAATTTTGGAATACAGTAATAATTAAATACGGATATCTACTCATGTGAGTACTCAATATTAATTTTTATAACAAATTTTCATACAAAAAATGTAACTGTTTTCCATATAAACATTGCTAAACCCGATATATATAACATAACTAAACACCAACCGTATGCCGAAAATCTATCGGGCTAGTTTAAGGCTAATTACTAAATGAATTACGTAACCAATTTGGCACTAGAGGTAAGCGTTAGGCGCCATCTCTTATTAACATTAATAATTATAAATTAATTAATTAATTTAAATAATTTAGAACCGCTGGGAGAAAAAAATAGACTGGATAGCGTAACTGGCAACGCATCTGCACGGTAAGCAGGAGTTGTGGGTTCGAGTTCCGCTCCGGGCCGATTTTTTCTCCCAGTGCTTCTAAATTATTTAAATTAATTAATTTATTTATAATTATTAATGTTAATAAGAGATGGCGCCTAACGCTTACCTCTAGTGACAAATTGGTTACGTAATTCATTTAGTAATTAGCCTTAAACTAGCCCGATAGATTTTCGGCATACGGTTGGTGTTTAGTTAGATTATTAAAATGCAAATTTTAATGTTTCAAAAGGGTGGTTGACTTGCTAAACAAGATCATGAAGATCATGACTTTTATACAAAATATTAAGTTGCTGGTTGTTGATGAAATTTCTTATTTGGGAGTATAGTTTACTGCTTTCTTATCATTTAAAAACCATTTTCAACATGTTAAGAATAAAGCTGTCAAAATAATAAATAATTGAATCTATTTACAATCAATAATGAAAATCAACTGAGTATAAAGTCAATTTCAGTTGTTTTTCTCACTTGTATTAAATTCAATAAGCTATGCTCTTCCAATGTGAGGAATTGATTGGTTAACCCACCTTGAGAAAATTCAATTAATTCACATAAGGAAATTATATTGTTTGGACAGAGCAGTTTCTGGTTATGCTATGTGTCATGACACAAATAGATTAATACTAGAGCCTTTCTTGGTGATAAGGATCATAAAATTTTTAAAAATAATTACTTATAGTAATAACATCCTGATTAATTTTACTATGGATGAGCTAAAAAGAATATATAAGATAAAAATGAATTATCATAATAATTGGCTTAATAAATTTAGTTTGTTATTAGCTAGATTTGAGATTTCACATGTTTTATTTGACCTTTTGAAAGATGACTGGAATTATGGATTTGCTATTTTAATAGAAAACATGTTTAATAGTGTGTTGGACCAAGGAAGGAATAGATTATTAAATTCAAAATATCATTCATGGTATGTAAATAATTTAAATTTTCTTCCATCAAGCAGTTTTATTAATTTCCAAATTCCACACAAGATTGAGATTTTACGTCTTTCCGATTAAACTGTTTTTTCATATTAGTGGACAGATATTATTTGGATATCAAACATAGTTTGTGTAAATTATGTCAAGAATAATTTTCAGTTTATTGTGAACCAACAGGTCATTAAACCTGCTCACTGTCAGGATTGCTTATTTTATGATAATGGTCCCAAGGGTTGGGACTCTCAAATGTCGGTCGAGTGGAGGGAGAGTATTTGGGGTCGACGATAAGGTAAAGGCTGCATACGAGTAAAGGAGTCTACCATTTTAACAAATAAAACAAGAATTTATTAAAATAATCAAATCAACAAAACTACTATACAAATCTCGACATTAAACCGCCTAACAGCTCAGGAGAGAGTTTACACACTTTTTCATACCTCTTTGTAGGTTTCCATGATGATTAAGGAATGTAAGCACAGAAGTATCCCATAAAAAGTCTTAATGAGCACAAATATATAAGTTCACGACTCTGGCGACGAATGGATATCAATGTTGGAGGATCAGAATTTCGGCGGGTTCATAGATTCGACTCGATGTTGTCAATCTGGCTTTCAATAAGAGACTCCCCCGAGAGGGGGTAAGAACAGTCTTTTATAGCTTTTTGTGGGGAAATTCCATCACGTGATCGAATGTTCTATGAGCTAAATTTTAGGTTATAGGTTTTCCAGAGACCTAAACAAGTGACAAATTTTGGATGCTAACTATAAACTTTTGTGCAAGTTGAGCTGCAAGTTATGTGAGGACAATATGATGGTTATGACAGGAAGGTTTACACATTTCCAGCTAAGATCGTTTTTTCTTCCAATTCGTTACATAAACATAAGGAAAAAGATAATTAAAATTTTAGTTAATAAAATTCCGGATCTCACATTCTCAACTGATTTGTTCATGTTTGGGCAGTGAAAAGCTTAGAATACAATTTGGGATTTCTACATTGTCATACTGTAAATTGAAGGGAATTTTACAGGGATCTATTTCAATTGGATCCTACTATAATAGTAAAATTATATAATTTCTTCACCAAATATTCTACTCTCCAAGAAGATTAGCAAAGAATCCAATGGTATAGTCTGCTTGGTAGTTGATAGACACCCTTTATATAATAGGAAAAGTTTTTATTAGTTTTCACAGAGTTCATTTGTTTCTAATATATGTATTTCTTTGTTGTGACTTTACGTATTTAGTTTCCTTTGTAACAGGACTGATTCTTAATTATGGTAATAAATTATTTGATTTGAATAAACTTTGTAATTATTGATATTTTTAGATGAAATTTATTTAAAAATTATTATTAAAGCATTAAATGGAAACAATTTAACATTAATGCTTTTATTTTATTTAGAATAATATAAAGAAAATATTCCTAATAGTTTTATGAAATTACAATAAAATATAGATGTCAATACATATAAAATTGTATGTAGATGATTACTGTATTTATGTCATATAAAACACACTCCATTTCAACATATAATATTTAGGAAAATATTTTTAGCATATTTAAAACATTTTGCACCTTTAATCCTTGACCCCAAATTTTTTTTACTATATTTTGGTTTTATAAAAAAAAATTAAAATTAAAATGCTTGCTTTTATTAAAAAAGTCAATTACAATTAAAATTTATTACTTACTTCCAACTCCAAACCAAAGCAGTGCTTATTTCAATATAACTTCATTCACTAACGTTTTTGAATGTTAGTGAATGAAATTATATTGAAATAAGCACTGTTTTGGTTTGGAGTTGGAAGTAAGTCATATATTTTACAGTGTGTCTGGATGTTTTTGTATTTAAAATTTATTATTAAAATATTCAATATATGTACAAAAGCAATATATTTTGCCTATAGAAAAATTAATAATAATGATGATGATGTATTTAATTAAGTAATAACATTTTTATTCAAGAATTAGGTAGGTAAAGATTACCTGTAGCCTACTGAAGGCCTTTTGGGGAATTCATTTATCTATGGGAGATTGCAACTTTATATATAAGTTGCAGGGTTTTTTCATTTTATATGCCATAAAATATGGTAAGTTTGTACTTGGTTGTATATAAATTATTGAATTTACACAGGAAACTTGATAGGACCAGGGGTCTTTCAAATAATTTAGAAAAGCATTTGTTTTTGAGTTTTGAGTGCATCAAGCACTGTTCATTTAAAGTTTCATTCACAATAAATACTGTAAGTCAATTACTGTATTGTAAGTAAATTAATTTACTCAAAATCTAACATAATGTTAATTGTAGTGCTGCTTAACATAGTTAAGTAGCACTACAATTGACAGATGACATAGTAACTTTCAGTTACCTGGAGAGTTTGGTTTGTGTATTATACTCTATAGTACATACAAATCTACATGTTCTGCTTTTTTTTAAAAACATATTGGATAACTTGGAGTTTTGAATTACAGAGTTTCTGTTGTTTATTAATTCATCTTACTCAAATAAAACTTTTCAATGTTATATAATAATTGAGATATAAAAACTGATAGATTGAATACTATATTAAGGTTTAGTTCTTTGTTATATCTTTGTATTAGGATTTCCTTTAACTTATGTAATTGAAACTGTAGAAAAATTTAAAATTTGCCTATAGTCAGATTCTTAAATTCTTATCAACTGCTGATAATGGGCATATTAAAAAGGAAAATGCAAATTTTGAATATTAAAATTTCAAATGAACAAATTAATAATGGAGCTTATTGAAGTTTTACTTATTATTGACCAATTGATCTAAAATGCAGTTTCAAATTTTTATTTGTTTTTCATCAATAAATGTGATTGGTTATTTCAGTGTAAAACAAGACCAAATAGCTCAAAATTAATAATAAATGTAAGTATAATAAACCATCAATACACCTTTATTGCTGAGATATGTTTAAACAAAACACTAACGTTTTCAACCTAATAGAATAGGCCATCTATGTAAATATAATACATTTACATACATAAATTACTTTTTAAAATTTTAATTGTTTTATCAATATATCTGAATTAGATTTATTGATAAGACTTGGCTACAATAGGCATGATAGCAATGATTTATCAGCAATCAATTATTGCAATCTATCATGCAACATGTAAAATATATGAAAAAAACTTAAAAAACAAAATGTACATTTTAGCAAATAAATAAGCAATTACCTATAACCAGCATTAATTAAAAGCAGTAATATTGTGCTTTTTAGCTTTTATATCTCCTGAAGTAATAGGACAATATTATTTATTTAATGTTTTGCTCTTATTTATTATCATCATTATAGGTCCAAAAGCAATTACAATAAGAATTCTTCTGTTTCAGTTAATTAATATGAAACTTTATTAAACATTTAAAAATAAAATTATTATTAGGTTTAGGTTTGTTAAATCATTCTTTGTTATTAATTTTTAATATTTTATAGATGAGGAAGGACGACTTGGACCTTCACATGTAATTTTTGATGGCAGCAGCAATGTTGGAAGCTTAGTAATTGATAAAGATAGATTAGGAGTAAGGTCTATGATTAATATATCCTTTATATACAGTAATTTCATTTCATTATTTATTCATTAAAAACTACAATATAATGATATAAAAAAATATATTTTAATAGTTATTTTTTACTAAATAATAATAAATGAAATAAAATGAAGAAAAACTAACTTATTACTATAAAAAATAAATATATTCTATTATAAGTTGAGTCAATAATTTGATTCCTTGTGCTTTATAAAGCAATATTTATTATTTCATGATGAATTATTAGTAAATTTGTTTAGTCTATAGATTATCTGTTTAATTATTTATAAAAATGGATCTATTTTAATTTTATATAAATATTTATTTATAACAAAATATGATGCCATATAATCTGAAATTCTTCTGCAGAATAGCAAAATCTGATTTTTAAAATCCAAAATCAACAAAAAAATATATAAAACTTTACATTAAATATATTTAAAAAGTTAAGAAGAATTATTCTTATCTTTTTATTTACCAAAGTCAGATATTTAAATTATATTAAAAATATAAAAATTTGATAAACCAAGATAAAATGTAGAAGAAAACTTGAATGTAATGAAGAAATTTTGTAAAGCAGCATTTGGAACAATTTGTCCTATGAAGTGTATTAACATACTGATAAGGATTGGAAGATTGAAATGCATTTATGAGAAAAATAAAGAAAATAATATAAACTTATTTATTTGAGTGCGATATTATTCCATGATCTAATAACTCATCAATGATTTCATTCATTTTTTCTCTTTGAGCATAGGGTATTCGTTATGGAGGTTGGTATATGGGAGAAGTATCTCCGGTATTGATTTCGTGTTCCACGACTTGACAATATCCCAAATCATAATCGTGAGTGGCAAAGACATGTCGATATTTGTACAAGAGGTCTAATAAAGGCTGTTTTTTCCCTTTTCCAATATGGGACAAATTGAAT